TCAGTCCTGGATCTTATGAACCTGAAATGATTCAATAACAACGTTATTAGATGGCTACTCAAGAGAATTTAGTAGAATAATTAATGAAGTTAAATAAATACAAATCAATTCCTTCTATACCAAGCAATTCTCAAATACATGGTTATACTGATAATGGAAGTAATAATCTAAAATTAAAACAATAAGCTTTGGAATTAAATAAAAGTCCTGAAGAAATACTATCAGGATTAAAAAATGATTCAGTTGGTCCAGGACAATATGACTTAAAAGACTTGTTTGAATAAAACAAAAATAGAGGATTTAATTGGCATAAATCAAAATAACCAAAATTAGCTCCTGTTGTTTCAAAAGAAAAATAGTAATTAGTAGGTCCAGGGAATTATGAAATACCAGAAGTTAATTAACCTCTTTATAAATTAATGCCTTCAGGTTCTTTTTAATCAAAAACACAAAGATTATTTGATATGGAAAGAGGATAGAAAGCTCGAAGTTTTATGCGATATCAATTTGAAAAAAAGAGAAATCAATTAATATCAAATCCATAATTTGCTGATCTTTAAGATGAAGAAATTGAATATATAGAAGTATATAAATAATTATTAAATTAATTTAGGATGCCACTCCAGGTCCTGGATATTATTATAAAGATTCCACAACTGCTTCAACCTATTCCAAATCAGCCACTAAAATAGATACATAATGTTTTGGTTCAAAATAAAAAAGATTTGAAGATGAATAAGTTTCAACTTCTATAGGACCAGGAGATTATAGAGTAGATGTTCCATTAGCAAATAAAAGTTTATCTTATAAATAGCCACCATTTATGTCTTCTAATAGTCGTTTTGATGCTAAATTGCAAGAAAAAAGACCAGGACCATAGACTTATAATCCTAAATAAACTGTATATACTAATATTTTATATTTAGCTAGAATATAATTTGATTAAGAAATTGGAAAGAGCTCCAGTAGGAAAATTTGGATATAATTAACCTAGATTTGATGATAATTAATTTTAAGTACCATAGCCAGGACCTGGATCATACCATTTTACAAGCAAAAGTCCTGAAAAAGGAGCATAATCAGTTTTTAAATCTTCAACTAAAAGAACAGGTCCTGGATCATAGAGTAAATCTGAATTACCTGCTCCTGGATAATATGATCCTAAAAATTATACAATAGAGTATAAAACTAAAATGGAAGAGGAGGAAGATCCTGCACTTAAAATTTAAAAACCTCCTTTTATGTCTTCAATGCCAAGATTTTAACATAAAGAGGAAAAGAAGATTGAGGAGTTAGATGAAGAGGAAGAAAGCTTAAGAAAAAGTCCTTAAAAAGAACCATATAAAATGCCTTTTTAAGTCAAGAAACATGCACCTCCTTTCAATATATAAGTATTATAAGCTTTTATGTTTACAATAGGAAAAGAGATTTTAATATGAGAATTCTAAAAATTAATCCCCAGGCCCAGGTGAATATCATGATGAAAAAAGGAACCCTTGGGATAAGAAAACTTATAATATACAATTCTCTGAAATTTGAGTAATAAATAAATAATACAACTTTCATTTTCTGTAAAAGCGAACATCAGACCTAGTATGTTGGTGCATTCGTAAAGGTAAACGTATTGCATCGTTTATTTTAAATTGCTTAGACAAGGAGAGACTCTATTATTTGTTTTTCGATGAAGATATTCTACCTTAAATTCATATGTACTTCGATTTCAATTGAATGGCTGTGTTATTATGATTATGATTTAATGGGGAATGCATAGTGTATATTTGTGCAGGAGTGAGCATTTTCTATAAAGGATCTTTAAGGATTCTTTAAGTATAGGCTCCCCCTTAAAATTAGACATCTTATCCTGTCTTTGGTGACAAATGAAAAGTCTATTAATTTTTCTAAGTTCTTGATATAATTTGTTTTATAGTCTGTTAACTAACTCCAATTGGAAGTTTATTATAAGTTTTAGGCGAGTTTAATTACACATATTGAGTGATAGTCTTCAGTTTTTATTTGTCTACCATAAATTAAATGAAATTTTGTAACTATTCTTATTCTCGATTAGATGGCTAAAGATTTAACTCACCAACATTTATTTATAATGCATTCAATTTATTATTAATGGTTTCAATAGTTGTTGAAGCATCCTAAATTCCAGATAGGATCTTGCTATACACTTATTAGGGTTTAGGAGATGTAGGAATAGCATCTTAAGGTGAGTCTCCAACAATGGCCTTTTTGGGTTTATTGGGGTTATTTCTATTTTCCTCTTCGATTATTCTCTTGATCCTATAATATTCAATCCTTCTCCTCTTATCATGATAACTGATCTATGTCTATAAATATAATACTTGCTCATGATCTCGCATAAATATGGCATGAAGAATCTTGGTATCTCATTGTGATATTTGTAGTATTCAGTAAAGAGACGAAGCTTTTGGAACAACTCACCTAATGAGGATATTTGATAATGCATACTTACTTAAGCAATAGAATCTCTTCAGATATTCGGAATCCTCTCTATAGGCCATAACTTAATAGAACCCAATCACATCAGGGGTTCTAGCAGAACTCACAAAATCATTTAGAGTTTTGGAGTAATAGTAAGACTGACTATGTGCATACTTTTTCTCAAGAAACCTTTGCACATCATATTTATTGGCCATTTTTATTAATATGTTAATCGATTATTTTTTAGTAATAGGATTATAAACAAAATCAAATGGTATACTATTGAAGTATATTTAGAAATATCATTAACTAATATCCTCAATAAGAAACAAGAACCAGAAATGATCATTATGCATCCTATGGATTAGCCTGCTCCAGATTACATTGAAAATATCAAAATGGTTTACACTATTAATAATATATTTAGTGGTGTTTCCCTAATGGAGTGCAATATTTCAACTAAGATTTAAAAAGAATAGATTTAGACAATAAATCAGAATAAATAATAACAGAAGACATTCGAAGTTAAGATCAATTGAGTCATTTTATTCTCACAGATGAGAAAGGACAGTAGAAGTTTTGTACATCTTTACTCTACTATGTATTATATATGTTAATCAAAGGAAAAAGTATATGTGAAAAATAAACATAAACATTTTTAAAAGCTATCCAAAACATTCCCCAAAATAGCAATTAAGTAAATCATCAAAAATCCATTGATTTTGGATGAAGACACTCAATTGATATATGCTCCTAAAACAATTACTTTAGTCTCTCATTCACCATCATTTGATTTACAAAGACAATTTCTTGTTTTCTTTTACAATAGTTATATTATAGATCGTGGATTGAATTCTATAGGCTTATGTGAAGATCATCTTAAATAATTTGAACGATTAGTGCTTACACATGGTTTAAATGGAGCTGAATAAGAATGGAATTAATAGGAAGTAATACATCTGAAATAACTTGAATAAGATTATATAATGGATTAAGACATTTTAGAATTTTATATTAGTGTGTTATTCACTCTCAACAAAAAAACCTTATTAACAGATGAAGATTAAAATCATGAAATTAGAATTACTAAATGTGAAGTTCATAATGAAATTCTCAGATTCAGAACTAATGATTAAGAAATCCTATCCTTAACTAATTTCACATTTCGTCCACTTTTTAGTAGATTATCACTTGTTAATATTATGAGATTAGTTATGTGTATCATCTCAGAAAAATAAATGCTCTTTTTCTCTTCTAATATAAGTAATCACTAATATCATTTAATTTAGGTGAAATTCCATAGATTACAGAAGGTTTGCTTTCTTTGATAAAACCACTTAAATGGTCCAATATTTATATTCCTTGTTCAAATATTGATATTTGGGAGTATACCTAAGCTTTGTAGCCTTATATCATAGGTTTTGAAAAGAAACATAAATAATTTGTATAATATCAAATTAAATCTTTAGTTACTCACTTAGATATAAGAAAAAGTAATTGTTGATCTTGATGAAGATTCAATTATTGATAATAGTCATACTATTGATGATGTAAATAAATAAATCCATTAATTTTTTTTAGTTAAAAATACCAGAAAAATGGTTAATTGAACTCAAAAACAAACTCAATCAAATTACTACTCAATTAAAGTATTCACCAAAATAAAAGATTTATTAATGGATGGAAGCTATTCTTAAGACAAAAAAAGCTTTTTTTAATTTTATATTACAAATAGTGTAAAATGTTCTGCCTTTTATAAAATCTTTAAATGATAGGGAACCCTAATAATTTACATAAACTCTTAAATAATGTTTTGATTTATAAGGTTATATAAAGAATCATCCTGAATAAGAGTTTATAACTGTAATTGCCAAGAATACTATGACATTTAGTACATTTATTGAATAGGTTGATGATTATTACTCATTAAGTAAATAAGTTGATCCAATGATTGTATCTTATGTTGAATACATGAAAGTTTAAGGATAAAAAAATGAATTAGATTTTCATAAATTGATTAATTCATGTTTAGATAAAGAAATTGAGAAAAATCTAAAAAACTTTTCTAATCCAGCTACAATTGATTTATATCCTTGGATGATAAAGTATCGTAAATTTTAGGATTTATTCAAAGAGAAAAATAGTGAGTAAGTTGAATAAAAGGAAAATCAATAAATAGTATTACATTTCTATGATGAAGAATCAAGAATGAAAACTAGATAATTACTGAATTCTAAAGAAAATATATTTTCAAAATTCAATCAAAAAAAAGTTATTAACTTGAAACAAATTTTTACTCATTAGAATGTTTCAAATTTGGTTTAAAATTATAAACTAATCTCAAACTCTTTAAAATAGTTAGTAAAAAAACCATCAGAAAACTTTGATTTAGATCCAATCCTTCAAAAACGAAAAACCTTACTACGTCGTCACTCTACTCTAATGAATGAATAATTAGAAGGAACAAAGGAAGATATCATGAGATTAGTAGAATCACTATAAAAGCAAGCATGAATAAATTTATATTTATAGAAAAATTATTAATTAAAATGATTTCTAGTAACTAAACGAAATCATTACTTGAAGTCATAGAAAAGAACGAAGATCCATCAGCATTTGCAGATGCTTTAGGTCTTTTAGAAAAATTAATTACTAAGTATTTAAAAAGATTTAAATTAGTATAATCAATAATCCCAATGAAGATAAATTTAAACATATAAAGATGACAGTTAAAACATTAGCCACACGATTATTTAATATAAAATAAATGGCAGAATTATTAACATCATTAGGTTTCATTTAAGTAATCAATTAACGCTAATAAAATAAAGTTAGATTAAGAATTTTATTTACCTGATGAAGAATATGTATCATTATTAGAGAATTTCAATACAATTAAGTGGTAGCATATTTTAGCTTAAGGTAGAGTAGAGGGACCATAATAATATTAAAAAGCTTAGGAAATGTAAAATTTTTTTTTTTACATTTTTTTTAGCGTTAGATAATAACAAGATGTATAGAGATAATATGAAAAAGAACAAAAAGAAAAGGAGAAAATTTAATAATAAATAAAATATGATAGATAAGAGAGAAGTTTAGTGAAAGAGAAGGATTCTAAGGCAAATGATTTATAATTTGGTGCCAAAGTTAAAACATGTGAGTAATTAGGCATAAATAAGAATACTGGTAAACGTGGGTGAGGTTGAGCGAGGCGAAGGTTTAAATACTTTCGCCTCGCATTATAATAATAAAGAAAATAATAATCAATCAAATAATTGAAGTAAGAAATTACTTCTTAGATGATCAATAGGCATTTAAAATTAATTGATGCTTTTTGAGAGATGGATTGTGAGTTTTCTTTATATATATATGTATGGTGAAGTCAATAAGAAAACATAACAATTTTCCATTTAATTTATACCACATTTATTTAATCATCTTTTGTTTTAGTTTTGATTTCAGATGAAATTTCTGTCCATTTAATAGTGACTCCAATATTAGATGGGATATTAACAATTCTTTTTAGTAAATCAAAAATATCGTTATCATCAGCTTTCATTTTTCTATAATTAAGTCTAAATTTAATATTTTCATAATCAGATCCAAGTTTTTATTTGAGTGTTGAATCGTAATTAGGAAGTAAAAGCGGATAGCCACTTAAAATATGAATATGATTAACAAGAATGAGAAATAAATCAATTGTCCAATATGATTTATTTCTAAATAAGTGATTGTGCTCTCCTATTTAATAATATTTATTTCTTATATTGTCAAGTGTTCAATTAATATGTTTACTAATTTCTCTCCATTTCCTAACATATTATTATATGTATTTAAGTGTAATTCAGCTTCTTCTTCCTTGTTCCAATATCCTTGTTTATTCTTACTATCCAAACTACGTCGAATCATTCTATAGACAGAATCAACTGTTATTGATGGTATATATTTTGTAATTTCAAGTCAAATCTTTGAGTGCCCTAAAGTTTTTAATTCAATGCAATCCTTCAATTGCTAATCAGTTAAATTATTTTAAGCTTAATAATTATGCACAATCTACATAATGTTTTCCTTTTCTTATTCTGAGAATTTGCCATCTTTCATATCTGATAGATTAACTAAATTATCCATTTTTTTGTGCCAAAATCTTTTGCCACAGAATTCGATTATTATGATAGAGTTTAATTTTATTATTGTTAATTTGATTATTTGTTTGTGAAGATTATACGAATATTAGTTCTATTTTATAATTATTCTTTTTTTGGATTTGAGAATAAAATTATTGTTAAGATTTCTAATCTTAAAATATATCATCATATTGTTATCTAAGTTGAGTGATGAATTTCTCATTTTATTTCTACTTCTTTTTCATCACCCTTTTTTTATTAAGATGTATGGTATTATTGTATATTTTTAATATTCATAAAATTTATATTAATTTAAATTACGCACTAAATATGCATCCTACAACATAATTGCTTTAAGAAGCCAGAGACAGAGTAACATTTCCTACTTTAGAGCTAACCAAACTAATTTATGGAAATGATGAGATCTATGAAACCTTTATGAAAGCCTAAAAGATAATTGCTAGTGAGCCAAGCATTAGAAATCATCCTGATTATCATAATTGGGGACGTAAAGAATAGATTATCAAATCATATGAAAAAATAAGAATTATGCATTAGCATTTTAATCTTGCAAATGCTGCTCATTGGGCACCTATGTTAAGTTTATTCTAAGGTACAACACCTTCAGCAGTATCATTTGGAATGACTGTTCCTGCCTTGAGATTTCTTGGTACAGATGAATAATTCAATCTCTGGGGTCCTAAGTTTCTTACTATGGAAATTGTAGCTGCTTATGCTTAGACAGAAATTGGACATGGAAGTGATGTATAGAATTTAGAAACTACAGCTACTTATGATTCATAAACTAATGATTTTGTATTGCATACACCTTCAGTTTCAGCTGTTAAATGTAAGAATAAATCAATATAACTTAGTTTGGCCTGGAGAACTAGGATTTTTATCAAATTATGCACTTGTCTATGCAAAGTTGGTATTCAATGGTAAGAATAAGGGAGTTCATCCTTTTATGGTTTAAATAAGAGATAACTCCACACATAAACCACTTAAAGGTGTTGTAGTTGGAGATATAGGACCAAAATTAGGATATTCTACAAAAGATAATGGATTCTTGGCATTTGAGAATTACAGAATTCCATTAAATAGTTTATTGGCTAGATATGTTAGAATTGAGAATGGATAATTTTCAAGACATGGAAATGAAAAAGTATAATATAATATCATATATTAGATATCTTATGCATCAATGATGGTATCAAGATAATTAATAATTTTCATTTATCCAAGAATGGCTGCCTAGAGTTTGACAGTAGCTATTAGATATTCAATTACAAGATAACAATTCACAAATGATAAAGGTGTTGAAAACTCTGTCCTTGAATATTAAACATAATAAGATAAATTATTACCTAGATTGGCAACATGTTATGGAATGATATTTGCAGGATTAAGAATAGCAGAATTGGTTGATGATAACTTTCATAGAGTGTAAAAGAAAGACTTTAGTACATTATAATAATCACATGCTATATTGAGGTATATAAAATTATGATTTTATTTATAGTGCTTTAAAGGCTTGGTCTTCATAATGGGTTGTTGATACTGCTGAATGGTGTAGATTATCATGTGGTGGTCATGGTTTTGCACATTATTCAGGAATACCAGCTATTTATTTTGACACTGCTCCTAATGTTACATTAGAAGGAGAGAATCAAGTTATGTATCTTTAAGTTGCAAGATACTTACTTAAAGTATTATAATATGTAGAGAAAAATCCAGAAAAGGTTCCATTTTATTTTAATTTTGTATTACATATCAAAGAAACTTTGGCTAATCAAAGTACAGATTTTGGATAATTACTTAAATTGACACTTACACTTTAATTAATAAGTGTTGCTAAAAAGATTAAGGATAGTATGGGTACAGGTAAAAATTTCCAATAAATTTGGAATGAAGTAGTTGGTGTACAATTATTATCTGTTGCTTAAAGATATGCTGAATATTTCACTTATTTAGTATTTTAAGAATACATTTCTACTGCCAATCAATCAGTTAAGGAAGTATTGTAATAATTATGTGATTTATATTCAATATAAGTAATATTGGATAATCCAAACACTCTTATAGAATCAGGTAGGATTAATGTAGAGTAATTCAAGTAACTCAATGAAACTAAAATTGAATTACTGAGTAAACTCAAACCATAAGCTTTGGGTTTAGTTGAAGCTTTCAATTTCTCTGATAATGCTTTGAGAACTTGCATTGGTTGTCATGATGGAAAACCTTATGAATATATTTATGAATGGGCAACAAAAGAGAATTCAGTTAATATCAAAGGAGTACCTTAAGCTGTAAATGATTTGATGGGCACAAAAATCAAAGCTAGATTATGATATTAATTATTTTAATAAATGAGAAAAAACATTTAGATTATTGCTAGATAATTCACATCTACTAAACCTGAACTTTTCAAGGCCCAAAAGATAGATGTCAAAACATTTGAGTATGAGCCTTTCAAATTTGGAATCGAAAGACAATCTATGATTCATGGATATACAATGGAGGAAATGTATGGCAGGTAAATGAAGTTATTTAAACTTTAGATTTTATGGAATTAAGCATTCCCCTTTAATTTAGAAAGAATTAAAGAAAGACAATCTTATTGCTCTTGCAATTCTCTTGGGAGGTAGTGTGATCACATTCTATTATAATGAATGGGGAGCTTAAGATCAAGCCAATTGGCTTTAATACTATTATTCTGATTTAACAACCAAGAGAAACAATCTCAAATGATTGACATCAATTTAAACATATCATAAAGACATAAAATATTAGCATTCATATTAATTTACAGATTAAATTTCTGTAAGATAAATAATATGTTTTATATCTATTCATTATCCACCCATTGTTAAAGAATCTAATAATGCTTGTTTCTCTGCAATTATCAATTTTAATTATGCTATTTCCTTAGCATAATTTTTTGCATTATATGTCATTTCATCTTGTAAAGCCTCTATTCTAGCATTAGCTTTATGTAATTTAACTTCTAATTCCATTTTATCTTATTCCCAATCAGCCCCACTATTACTTACAGGTCTTTTATTTCTTAACTCTTCTTTCATATTAGCAACAATTCTCTCTAATCTCTAACATTCTTATTTATAACGCTCTAATTCTCCAATGTCTTCTCCATATACAATTCCTTTTAATTATTTTTACAAATTGAGATTTTCGCTTTTAAGTTATTCAACCTCTAATTATGCCTATCTAGCTTTTTAAGCATCTTTTAATGATGTTTCCATTAATTTCTCTAATTTAGATATTACAGTTTCTTATTTTTTAACAGCCTCTTTATAAACACCTACTTTTTGGATTTCTTATTACATGACCAACATTTTCTTGGCATTCTCTTAATGAACCCTTTATAATGATTCCAATTCTACTTCAAGTTATCTTGCAGAAGCAATATCTTTTTAAGCAGTTTTCAAAGCTTTTTCAAATTCTTCATTTCTTACTCTTTCATTACGATAAGCTTGAGCAACTTTTATTATTTTTTATCTTAATTCTTCCATAGACATAACAGCTATTTCTTTTGTTATAATAGATTAGATTTCAAGTGATTCCTCATGTGCTAAACGTTTTCTTAATATAGAATTCTCACTCTATAACAATTTAACTTATCTTCTTAAATCAACAATTTCTGTTCCTGTTATTTTAAGACTCTCAGTTTTATCATCTACTTCTTTCATTAATCTATGAATCATTTCTTATTTTTATGAAAGCTCTTTTGACAAAATATCCCACTTTGATCTATCTGCTCCTGAAACATTTTCAGCCAAAGCTTTCATATCTGGTGTTCTAGGTACTAATCTAGTGGATTTCTTTGATGATGAAACTCTACTTATTGCAGGATTATCTGCTGCTTCCATACAAGTCAATTCTACTTAACATCTACTATTCATAAATAAAGGTTTTTATTTGGATTCATCAGACCAAGTAATAGGAAAAAAGGCTTACTTTTTCTCTTTGGAATAATATAATTTACGAAGCCAATCATCAATTATCTCTGAATATCCGACTATTCCATTAGGCATTGAATGCATAGATTTGATTGTGTCATCTCTAGTAGCTAAATAGAATGCAATTCCACTCTATTAAGATCAACATAAAGAATACTTCCAATTAAGATTTAGGCAATGTAAATACTGCTACTGCATTATAAACTTTATCAGCTTTATGAGGTGGTATTTTCATTATAGATGATATGAACACATCAGATTGAGCATTACTTAAAGCTTGAGCTAAAGTTGGGGCACCTTTCAAATCTATTACTGAATAAGGCACTTCTTTAATTTTTGTTTGATTCAATGTCATAATCAAATTAGTTCTACTTGCATATGGCAATGGATCATAATGAACCATCTTTACTATAATATCAATTAATTCATCTAAAAATTTCTATTTATCAGCCATTTCTAAAGTTATTGACATATACAATCTAGGTCTAGCCTCATATTCTGCAAATTTAAATTGTAATTCAAAATTCATTGGTTAAAAGGGTCTCATTTATGAAATTGGAAAATAAACACTCTCTATTTCTCTTTATCCAACATCATCAATCAAACTAAGATATAAATACCCATCTAAAGTTGTAACAGTTTAAGGATTAGGAATCAAAAATTGTTAGTTCCAAATTGGATGTCGATTTTAATCTCTAATCTTTGTTAAATGCATATGATGTTCAGATGGAGGTTAATTATCATATTAAGACCAACCCAATTTTACAAATCCTCTAGGTAAACCAGATTGAGAATCACGGTGTAAAGGCATATCCATACATGCCCTTATATCTACTCTTAATCTCCATGTAAAGCTCATGAATGGATCAGATGCTGGAAGAGGTTAGAATATTTCATCTGATTCTAATGGTTTCTCATCATTAATTGGAATTATTTGTTCGCCTACTAATTTAAGATTTACAATAAATCTTCCCACAGTTACTTACTTATCATTTCGACGAACAAATTTCAAATGTTATCTAACCCCTGTTCCACTTATGTCTGTCAATGGACCTGTGAAATCACCCAATTTTAATATACACTCTCCTAATAACCTTGCCTAACCTTAATTGTCTAGATCAGGTCCACGTCCTTATTCACGATCAGTTACAACATAAGCTTCGAACTTTCATGGATAAGGTATTATTTTTACATGCAAGTAATCATTAATGTCCAATTTAAAATTAGAAAGTGGTATTATAAAAGTACTCGCTGCAAATACAGGTGCTGCAACTTAGGCACTCACATCAGTTCTTTTCTATTATAAAATTAATTATTTCATTCTACCTTCTCCCCATCTACATTTAATTATACAGTAATGAAGTAATGATAATCTTTTGCAAACTCTACATTATGCAAACTTACACAAAGCGATGAACGTTGTTAATCCATTATTTTAAATATGACAGATAAAAAATTTAGTATAAAAATTATACTTAATTAATGTATTCTTTGATTTTCTTCTCTTAATTATAACAAAAATCAGATGTTGGAATATCGTATTATAATATAAATATATTATTTCCTTTCTATTCCTAAATTAATTACATTTATAATTTAACATAAAAATACTATTTATTTTCAGTTTTTTAATTCATAAAAATTATAAACTATATAAATAGTTTTTATTAAATTAATATAATTTCATAAAGAGATTGAATAATTAATACTCATTATTAGAATATGTTATTTTTTTATTTAAAATATATATTCTTTATAAATTACATAATACTTATTATTAAAACTGGATTCTTTTCTAGAATATTATTCATATTTTGATTAAGAGATACATTATAAATAATAAAAAAAATAATATAATTTATATATATATATTACTCTATTGATGAAAATAAAAAGAATTTAAATTTCCCTTCTAAATAGGCTAAAATAATTTGATAGCAAATTTATTTTAAACTTGTAAGTCTTAATCATAAATGCGTATTTCATTCAATTTCTCTATATCAGTAAAAAAAATTAAATGTTGAAACGATACACATATATTTTACTTGATATATAAATTAAATAATTCATAAATCAAGGTATATTTATTTAATTAATGAAATCTAAATTCTCTACAGATTCGATTTTTCTCTAAACAGATTCTGAGTTTTGGAGAAATGAGTAGATTTAAATAAAGGAATAAGAATTTAAAGAAGATTATTTTCTATTCTACTCTAATACTAAAAAATCATACAAAAATAAGGTATTGAAGAGACATGGTCCAATTATAAAAAAACTGAAAAAAAATGTAAATTTTTTGAGATGTAAAAAGGGATTAGAATTATGGTGTGATGTTACTAATGCTATAATTGAGATGCTTGATATATAACATGTAGGCTAGGGTTTGAGGATAACTAAAAATTCATATTCTTTAGAGTTCTTTGGATATGTAGATGGTTGGTTTAAAGAATTAAAAAAATTCTGTATACAAAAACAGATAAAAAATCAATTTATTATCAGTAATAAATTAGGTTGCGGGAACTATGCAGATGTATAATAGTTTATTAATAATTTCATAGGTTCATAGATTGATAAGGAAGAATGATGAAAAAGAATTTGCTGTGAAAATTTATGATAAATTATCTAATAAATTTGATTCTGAATGTGTAATAAAGGAGTTAGATATACTGAGAAAAATGGATCATCCAAATGTTATTACAGTATTAGAAACATTTGAATCACAAAAATACATATTCATAATTACAGAATTGTTGATTAGTGGAAATTTAGATGATATTCTTTCAAAAACAGCACTGTCAGAAGACGATGCTATTAAAGGTATCTTTAAAATTATAGATGCACTTACATATATACATTCTAAAGGAGTGATACATAGAGATATTAAACCAGAAAATATTTTATTGAGAAAACCTAATCTAGAAGAAATTGTTATATCTGATTTTGGATTAGCTGAATATCATAATGAAGAAGGTCAATATAAATATCATCGATGTGGAACTGCAGGTAATATGGCACCAGAGATTTTAAAAGATTTATCTTATGGTTATAAAGCTGATTGTTACAGTGTTGGAATCATATTTTTTTAAATGTTAACTCAAGGACAATCTCCATTTATTGTAGAAGATTATTAAGAGACCCTTCAAAGAAATGAATAAGGTTAAATAGATTTTTCAGTTGTTTAATCATCTCCTTCTGTTATGAACCTCTTAAAATAAATGTTAGAATCTGATCCTTTTAAAAGATGTTCTGTTTAAGAAGCTAGATGTAATACTATATTTAAGAAATTTAATCGATAAACTATAATTATTAAAAGAAAGAGAATATATTAAGATCATACAGTTTCTAGTTATAGTCCAAGAAGTACTTCAATTTACTAAAGTCCAACAAATTAGGCTTCACCTCAAATACCTATAAGTCCATCATATAAATATGTTGGAGTTAAAAATCTTCATTCGATTCCATTAAGACTTAGAAGTCATGAAAGAAAATTATTTTCATCTCCAAATTCAACAAATTCAGGAGCAAATAGTGCTAAATTATAAATAAAATAAAAAAACTCAAATTTTAAAATAAATCAGAAAAATAACAAAACTAGTATATACTAAGGTATGAGTTCAAATAAAGCAATTTGAATCATTAATCAACTTATTATGGTTAATGATAAATAATATTTATATTTCAAATGTTTTAAGTATTTATATCAATCTTGTTATTCCTCTTATTTAATACTTTATTTTGTTTACTTTGTTTGAAGGAAGGTAGAAATATATGAGTAAAATGATGTTAATTTTATTATGATACTTAATCAATTTTTTCTTCTTTGTAAAAAAAGTGCGTTTTAGGTTCCCATCTAAATATCAGGTATGTCACTTAAATCATCTTTTGTTATTAAAGCATGTTATAATTCAAAATCAGTCATGACTTCATTTTAAATCTAATTTTAGAACAAAAGTTTACGTTGTCTTAAATAAGTTCTTAGACTACCCATTATTGATCTTTAGTTTCAATTGATTATGCTTGAATATTGGTAGAAGATGTATAATCTTCTTGTGAAAATAAGATATCATTTGGATCCAATATTTCTGATTAGCTTGTTGTTGTTAATGCTAAAGTAAGACCTAATATTAATATCAATTGTAAATATTTCATGAAATTTAATTAATTATGTCTAAATTCAAACATAATGTAGAAGACGTAATGAATAAATTAGAACAACAAATAAAAGAAAATAGGAGAAGAACTAGAACTCTAAGTCTTGCCAAATAAAATAGTTTCAATAATTAATGTAGATAACGATTAAATACAATGCATCATATTGCAGATCATTTCTTGTTGAAAACAATATATATTCAGCCTTAATAAGATATTTAATAAAGAAAGAAAATAGTAAATCAAAGATTGAAAATATAACAAAGAAAATATTACTAATAATTATTTTATGATAAAACTTTACACAAAAATTAAAAAACTGAAGTTTAGCCATTTGCATCATGTATAACTTTATCACAATTAAATTAAAATGTTATACCCTTACCTATAGTGTTCAAATAAAAGAAGGAAATTAAAAAATTAACAAAACCTAACTCAAAATTCAATCTAAATTGATTAATTAATATTGTTTCTAATTTATTATTCACATTATAGAATAGTTATTCCATTTTTTGTTCCAATAATCTGATAATTTAGATAGTTTGTATTTTCAGACTACTCTTTCACTTAATTACATCAATTAAAACTTTCACAATTATAATTTAATGTTATTATTAAGTGAGAACAATATAAATAATATTTCAATCTATATATTCAACATTCTATACCTTTAAAATTTGGAAAATAATTTATGAATTTATAATTTTACTATTACTTCATATTCATAAAATAAGTAAATTAAAATTAAATATTTAGTAAACTCTGCATAAATCACATAATAAATAAATTATAAATATTTAAATATTTCTAAATTGTTCTTCTTGAGTTAAAACAACATAATAATTGTAGAACAAATCATTCAATATAATGCCTTTTAGATTGATAATGATTAAATTACTTGATATTAATTAGAACTATTTAATTATTATAAGAAAATTTAAATTCAATCAAGATGATTATCATATATATATAATATTAATTGAATAAATCATTACTAGATATAATTTTAATAGAAATAATCAACTTCTAATCTACTTTTATAATCAATATAAAAATCATGTTATATTAAATTGAAATAAAGAATTATGATAAAAATAATGGCTTATGGTTAAAATCTAAACAGAAATTAAATTATTTTCTTATATAGAATATATTGTTTATGATATCCTTTTAGTTCTAAAAAGTATATTAAATATTAATAGCAATTTTTTTATTTTAAATGTTTATTCTAATTGTAAAATAAAATATATAAAAAAAGTGCCACCTCCAGGAATTGAACCTGGGCTTTAGCGGCCACAACGCTAAGTACTAAACCACTATACGAAGATGGCATCTCGATAACTTTAATAACAATTTTTTTTGTATACTGTTAGCCTTCCCTTATAGTATTTTTTTTTAAATAAAAATAGTGTAATTTTGCATTTATTTTTAATAAATTTATATAATTTATATTTATGAAAAATTAACAAGTACAATAAGGAAATATATGGATGAAAAGTTACATTAATATAGGTTTACTGAAACTCAGCTATTTGTTAAATCAATATCATTTATATTAAATGTTTGACTATAATGAGATTTATTCATTTAATTTCTTCTGGTAAGATCAATCATCCAAGACCATTTTAACATTACAATCATACTTACCAAAATATTCATAATTTTATAATTTCAAATGTCCTAATCCATGTTTCATTTCTTATAAAAATATCCACTAAAAACAGTATTATCAGTAAATTGGATTTGACATAAATCATTAAGATTATCTTATTTCCAATTCCCTTTAATGATTGTACCATCAGAATAATGACATTCTCCTAATCCATCCCTTAAACCATCCTTAAATTATTCCACATATTTATAAGTTATCTATTAAATTATTAGTAATAATAACGTTTATATAATGCCATATTTTAATTTTCTTTCATCCCAAATCCCTTAAAATGTTTAATTGTCTTTGGTTTTAAATATCCCCCTTTTCTTTAAATTCATTGTTTTGAACTTCTTCCCAAAAAAAGCAATCGTAATGAAAAAAAGCATATCAATTGCCTACAGTTTATCCATTTCGAAAAGTTCCAAAGTATTTATAGAGTTATTCTTAATCTTACTAATCTTGAAATCTCATTCATAAAAATATGCCTTTTTATATTGGCTTCTTTTTAAGAGATAAAACTCCATCTCCTTCTCTATTAGAACCTTGCAATCTTCCATAATACTCTCCATCAGCAATATTATGTTTCTCAAAAGAAGCAGAATTTAAATCAGGGAATTCATTAGTACTAAAAATTATTAATAAAATAAAGAAATCTCTAAGATATAAAGATTCTTAGTCCTTTTATCTGCTCAATGTTAGCACTTTTTATTTAATTTGGTTTTGGTTTAGGTAATATCGGACGTACTGCATGATGATATAAATTTAATAGATATGTGTAATACTAATGATTCATTTAATTTCGACTTATCTACAGATTGATGTTTGGATTGATTGAATATAATTCAACATAATCTGATGCTAAAACCTACCCAATTAAAATTAAATATAATATATAGGAATTTCAAGAAAATTAACATATTTAAAATAACTTATTATTTAAGAAACCTTTTTTACAAATATGATGAATTTGAATTTTATTTTGCAACCAATTTAAGACGAGAATAATTAAACTACTGAAACTTATTACAGATAATGTAGTTAAAAAAAAATAGATAAGTGAGATTTTCAAGTAAAATAAATTCATAGTTAATTTAAAAAGAGAAAATTTGGAATATATATAATTGACTTGACATAAACTTATAAATATTAAGAAATAAATTTTCAATTTTGCCAGCTAGAAAACCATTTTCTAAATATATACTATATATTTATTAATTAGTTGATATAAATTTTTTATTTATGAATATTTCAACACTTATCTATCTAGTCTTAATATTTTCTTTTTAAGTATAGGCCTCTCATTTGTGTGCTGAAGAAACAGATTAAAAATAAGAATGCAAAAAGTGTATGGCAAATTCAAGATTAGATCAAGGTACGTGTAAGTGTTTAGATGGTTATATTTCAGACAATAAAGTGAATAAATGCTATTGTACTTAAATTAATTTATAATTAAATAGCTTGCTTGCCTAATTGTAAAAAATGTAAACCTTTTCAATTAAATTAATGTGAAGAATGTTTTGGTGAAAATGCTGACCATGAAAATTAATGTATTTGTAAAAAAGGTTATATCTATTCATCATAAATGTAAACCTGCATTAATAGTATAAATAAATATAATTTTAGAGAACAAGGATTTAAATCTGGAACATCTATAATATTAAATTTAATCAAAAGAGTTTGAAAGTCTTAAATTTGATTTTTGTTTACCTGTTGAATAGTATGCTTAAACAAATCAACTATATAAATTAAAAATAAATAATGTTACTGCGACATTATAATTAAATTTTACAGAATTAAATAATTAAAGTTCTATTGCATATATACAAACTAATGAAAAATTGATATTTGAAAAAATCCTTTTATAAAAGATAAAATCAAGACCTATTTTAAGAGATTTTAATGAGACTATTTTTGAAATAAATTATATTTAAGGATTAAGTTAAATAAAAGAAAATAATTAAAAATAGAATTTAATTTTAATGATTGAAATAAAAAATGTTATTTCAAATAGTTATTATTTCTTATTGATGAAATGTGGTTTATAAGAAAAATAAAGTTTAGAAGAATAAAAAATATTAGAAAGTCATGTCAATTCAGTAGTAGATAAATATTTTAATTTATTTTATTAATGTCCTTCTAATTGTAAAACATGTACTTTTGAAACTACTGAAAAGTAATCCAATATTTAATGTAAATAATGTATAAATGGAATGAAATTAGAAAAAGGAAAATGTTTTTATGAAAATTTACCTATAAAAATAAAAGAAATTAAATAAATTTAAGGATCAGAATAAAATACAGAATGTGATATTTAAACTTATTTAAAAGATGAATATTGTGAATTATGTGATATATAAAATTGTGAAATATGTGAAAATCAAGATAGTTGTAAAAAATGCAATGATAAATTTGAAATTAAAGATGGAAAATGTGAATGTCTAGTGAAAACAGATGAATAATGTGATAATAGAATAAATTAATAGAAAAATTGTATATATTATAATGGAAATGAATGTTTATAATGTGAATATGGTTATTATTTACATTAAAATGAATGTATTAAAATGTTATCTAATGAATATTTACTTTGTATAAAATAAGATTAATGTTATAATTGTTTGAATATGGAATAAATTATTTAGAAATCAAAATTTGAATCTAACAAATAAGTTTGTGAATGTTAAAATGGATATTTTATGAATTATAGATTATTAGAATGTAATTAATGTGATTCAAGTTGTAGAACTTGTGTAGATAGATAAATTAAATGTACTAGTTGTAATGATGGGTTTTATTTATAAGATCATAAATGTAAGAAATGTCCTTAAACTTGTCTCAAATGTGATTCTTATGATAAGTGTATAAATTGTGTTGATGGTTATTATTTAGATAAATCTTAATGCAAAGAATGTAAAATTATGATTTCAGATAAAAATGTTTGTGCAAAATGTTAAAATGATAAAATATGTACTTAAGCTATTGAAGGATATTATGTTGATAATTAAAATATGGTTAATAAATGTGAAATAGAATATTGTAAAGTTTGTAAAGACAAATAGATATGTGAAAGATGTGATCCAAATTATTTTGTAGAAAAAGGATCTTGTGTTTAATGTTAAGAAGGATGTATTAGTTGTGAACGAAATAATGAATAAAATCAAATTAAATGTTTTAATTGTTCTCCTAATTATACTCTAAGTGATGAAGATGGAAATTGTAAAAAATGTCCATAAAATTGTAAATAATGTGCAACTCCAAATACTTGTAATGAATGTTTAGAAGGATTTCAATTATCTTAAGATACATAATTATGTGAATGTCAAAATGCTAATGAATATTTTTTAAATAATAAATGTTAAATCTGTGTAGAAAATTGTGAAGAATGTGAATCAAAAGATAAATGCAAAACTTGTTTAACTTCTTATATAGTAAATAATAAAGGTTAATGTGAAAAAAAAAAATGTAAAATAACAAAATGTGAATTATGTTAATCTGATGATTCATGTGAATAATGCAAAGATTCAATATATTTTCCAGAAGAAAAAAAATGTGGTTGTAAAGGTAATTGTGAAACATGCATTTTAAAAGATTCAAAATAATAATGTACTAGTTGTAAATCAAAATATTATTTAAAAGAAAATGAATGTGTAGAATCTCATTGTGAAGATGAAAGTAAAGATGGTAAATGCAAATAATGTAAATTAGGATATTTTATTAATTCAAATAATTAATGTGAAGAATGTTAAACTAAAAATTGTAAAGCTTGTATTAATAATATATGTAATATATGTCAATAAGGTTATTATCTTCAAGATGATATATGTAAAAAATGTACAGATCCATCATGTTTATTATGTGAATATGATTAAAATGATGATTAGGATTAATGTAAAACATGTATATCTGGTTACTCTCCTAAAGAAACTAAATGTTATAAAGAAAACAATTTATTTCCATTACTTGCTCTTGTTTTTATTATTGCTTTAATTTATGGAGTCTTTTACTTTAAAGAATAAATTTTATCTCTTTGCTCAAATTAAAGTTAAGGATTTGTAAATAGCTCTGATTAAGATGTTGAACTTACAAATAAATCAAAAACTTAAACTAAATAAAATAGAGATGATGATTTTAATATATTAGAAGATTGATTTATAAAAATCAAATATAAACTTTTATTTTCTTAATACTCTATTAAATATTATATTATTTTTAAATAGTAAAAAATATACTGATTTCTGATAACAAATTATATTAGAATAAAACTTTATTTTAGAATTGTGTTTATATTATATAAATTTCCATATTTTTAATCAACAACAAGCTCCAGAAGAATTATTATTTTTTTTTTTCACTTGGTGATCAGCTGCCTTTAAGACTGAAGCATTTGAAGTTTGGCCCTTATTCTTACTATACTAAGCTTTTGTTTATTCAAATTCATCATCATCTTAAGTTTCACTTATATCTCTTAAAATTTCTATATTATCAAGAAATTAGACCTTCAGCTATCTATTTAAATGCAAATTCTATATTATGTCCAGTTTATGCTGAAGTTTCTAAAAATCCCATCTTTTTAGATTAAGCATACTTTATGGCTTCCTCTTTGCTCACTTCTCTATTGGCTTCTAAATCATTCTAGGATTGTTCTAATACAAATTTACCTTATTTCCAATAAGCATAAGAACTAGATTTTATTAATCAGAATATTCTCTGATTTCTTGCAACCATCTATCGACGTCCAAGAATGAATTTTTTTTTGTGATATCGTATACTAGAAAAGCACCAACTGCACCTTTGTAATATGCTTTTGCAATGGCTCTATATTTCTCTTAACCTGCTGTGTCCCATACTTATACTCTAATTTTTTTGTTATTAATTTCTAGGACTTTTGCACTAAATTCTACACCGACTGTGATATTAGTAGATAGATTAAATTAGTCTTTAGTAAATCTGAGTAAAATCTATGATTTTCCAACAGCAGTGCTTCCTAAAATAAATGACAGAATTACCAAGTAAAATAATTTTGAATACGTGAGCTATGTCATTTACACCTTAGGATTAATCCATTCAATTTAATTAAATATTATCACAAAAATATAATGAAAAGTGATAAAGACAAGATTGATTAGATTATCAATTAATTTTATGGATCAAAAGTTATTGAAGAATTAACAGAAGAGGAACGTCAATTTGAATTAGTTGTTCAATAACCTGATTAAACATTAATTTAAAAGATGCTTGTATTATTAATTTACATTCATATAAATTTAGGATGATAGTTTATAAAAGAGATAAGAGTTTATTTAGAGTGTTGAATGCAAAGAGTATTCATAAATGCTCATTATTTCATAAATTCGAATGGATTTTACAAATGATGATCCATTTCTTAAACATTTAATGAATGTCGAAAAAGCAATCAAAAAGGCAATTAGAAACATTCTTCTATAATTATAGAAATTAGATAACAAATAATAATTTAAAGATGCCTGTGATAAATTAATAAAGATATTTTATTAAGATATTAATATTGGCTTTATAACATCGACAGGATAAATTAAATCTACTGCCTATGCATTTATATCTAAATCAATTATTGAATTAATAAATAGAAAGAAAATCAACTTATAATTTAAAAAGATCCCTTTAAAAATAACCTTAACATTTTTTGCTATTGATTCATTGTAATAAATAAATCCAATACAAAAACAATATGATCCAAGAACTGCTTTCATAAGAAATAATAAATTCTTTAA